TGACAACAGCACACATTTCCACTGTCTTTCAGACCGTCTGAGATGAGCCTGGGCCCAGAGAATTCACCAGTGTTTCTGCATAGAACTGATGTACAGCTTTCTCACATTAGAGTTTTAAAGTTGCATTTCTTGATGTAGCAGCAGACTGTTAGGTCACAATGGTTTTCCAAAATACTCATAAAGTACTCCCTCCCTTCTTGTGCAGTGCCATCTGAGGGCTCGAAGATCATACACATTGACCAGTGGTTTCTCTGCTTTTTTTGAGCATCAAAGTCAAAATTTATTTATGTTCACTAATACAATTAAGTTGGTCAGCCAAAAATAATTTCTTTATACTTTTGTCAGTTAAATGAAAGTTTAAGAAAACTAACAAATCACAGATTCTTGTTTGTATTGTGTTTTACAAAATGTCCCAGTTTTTTCAGGGTTTGTATTGTCAGCATACTTTCCATCTTACTGTCATTGTTGAAAATGCCCTTAACTGTGTGTATGGCCCCTTTTAAGGACTGTAATAACTGTTGCAGTACTAGGTTCTGTTTTTGACACTTGTACTTTGTATTAGTTAAAAAGCCTCAATCTAGAGGCATGTTCAGTGCAGCTAAGTCCTGAGTGTAATGTGGTTGCTTAGTCCTTCAGGTTGCTGGCTTTGTTTTGAGCATGTGTAAATGAAATCAAGAAACTTTTTTTCTCATGCAGTTTCAATCTGAATCTTTTAATAAGTGCATGCTGTTACAGTCCAAACTACAGTTAAATCAAGACTGATACAGGAGGTGATTAGTGCTCTAATTCACATTATTGTTTATGTTTTAGACAGACATTATAAATCTTTAAAACTGTAGTATGATTCACAGTAGCTGTCTTTTTGCCCCCATTTGGTGTTTATTTTGAATGCTAGGTTGCTGGGTGATGCCATGATTGTTAAAGTTCAAAATAAAAAAGATTGAAAGTATGTATTATTGTTGAGGTTTTATTGTTCTGGCCAAAGGTTTTACATGTGTATTGGTTACAGTAGTGTATTGGTTGCTGTGTATTTATGTAAAAATTAAAGTACACCATTCTTTTATCTGCTGAAGTGAAAAGTAATTGTGCAGAATGTTCGTGTAATTGAGTAGATTGACTCCTGTATAAAAACTGGAATATAACACAATGACCACAAAATTATGGTATATATTTTTTTGATAATGCCAAATTTCTGTGAATATACGGAATGATAAAATAAAAAATGTTAACCATCTACTTTAATATTGGGGTAATAACATGTAGTTTTGCATTGTATTTCTGTATTTAATCAGTAGAATCCAGTGATGTAACAGCGGTATCTTGTGGATAAACAGTACATTGTGATAGTTGGTAGGTGGATCAACCAACATTAACTGTTATCTACTGTAAATTTGTAGGATAAGAACATTTATTGACAGATTATGTCTGTTGATAAATGTTTAATAAGATTGAAAAGACAGTAAAGTGACCGTTAATTTAAATAATGTTTCTTTATTTTACGTTAAAAATCTCTACTTTGACAGGTGCATTACACTGTTATTTAAAAGATAGCAATCCTCACATTGCAGACTTTTAGTGTATTTATGCAATATTGCCAGACATCTTACCGTTATTTTTACAATTTTACAGTGCAGCCTACAGCTAGAAAATGGATTTCCTCACCAGCAGACCTCGATCTGTTAGAATGGGTGACCACACTTCTCCAACTCTCAGCATTGAAACGTCAACCTGCCAACCTGCATCGCAAAGCACAACTCCAACACACAACATCAAGTTTGCTGTTGACACAACAGTAGTGGACCTCATTAATAAGAACATGGAGGAGTAGAGAGAGGAGGTGAAACTTCTCACAAAGTGGTGCACCAACAACAGTCTCTTCCTTCCATGCAGGCAAAACCAACTAGAAGTCAACTGGTCAATCAGCCCCTCTGCAACTTCTACAGGTCCACATTGGAGAACATTCTGAAGAGCAGTGTCCTCCATGATGGAATGCCAGATGGCATCAAATTTCCCTATATATATATATATATATATATATATATATATAGTATTATAGTTTATAGTCCACAGCAATATATCCTTCTTTTACCAGTTTCTCCATTCAGGAGTCTGTTTAGTGTCTGTACTGTAAGTTTAAGAAACAGTAGTATTTGATGTCATCACTGGTCTCTGGACTGTCTGTCTGCAGTTTGTGAGCTAACAGGAAGAGGGCACTGTTTTGTCTGCTGTGTAGAATTAAGGACTTGAACTGTTTTAATATCCACATGCAGTTATGCACAGAAGAAAAAGAGATGTAAAATGCTGATGAATTCAACACTTTAAAAAGGAACACTTATATACTTATATATATAACATATATAAAATCTCATATAAACTCTGTTATCTGCTTATAAAAGAGATCATGTTTTTATTGGGCTCAATGGGAAATGAAAAACTAATGAGGATCCCGATAAAACAATGAATTAGTTATATCTGCAGAAAATGACAGTTCATTATGAAATTATTTTACCAGGCTGCCCATTGTGTTATTTTTTATTATACTGAAATTATTTCCAAACTTAGCCTTTCATATTCTTCATAGAGAAAACATATTTGTTATTTTTATTGTATAGCATCCTTGGGTGTCTTGAAAGGTGCTTATCAAATACAATTTTATTATTATTATTATTATTATTATTATTATTATTATTATTATTATATTCTTTGGGAATTTATACAGAAGTGTTTTTATTTATAGCTATTCACATTTTAACAAATATTTGGATTTATAATATAAATTAAAAAGCTGATAAAACTTGAAGCTCTTATATTACAGTTTGACAATATAAGCAAAGACGATAATAAATTGAAATTCACTGCAGAGTTTTAGCATCTCAACATTGAGTTATAAGTAAGAAAATAGAAGGAAAATAAGTTCTCTAGTTTTATATCTTAGCAGGAAGTCATTGAGAATCATTGTGTCTTGAACATAAAAATGTGACAGGCTGGGATGACTGAATTTGATATACATGTGTATTTATGTAAGCTAAAGCTACATTACTCAATCTAGTAGTTACTTTAACAATGCATATATTGTTAATGTATGACTAAATGGTTATTACAGACACTGTAAGAACTTTTACTATATTGATTTACTGACTGAAACAGAATCCTAGAATAGCACCTTGGACAGCACTGTCACCTTTACACAGTACATCCCACAAACCTTAGACCTACACTGCCATCTAGAGGAAGAGTAACAATATTTTACAGTAACCTTGTTACAGTGTAAACACAATGTAGATATAACTTAGTAACTGATGAACAGAGAGTGTTTACATGGTTCATAAAAATAAAATCTTTTTCAACAGGAATTTACATTGTATAATTACACATCTCACAGCTTCACATGGTTGAATAAACATCATCAGATCACCTGAAGAACAGAGTAGTATCACAGTATCATTGTTAATCACCTCTTCTACACGGCCATGCAGTGTCCTCCATGGGGAATCCCTGCTGCCATCTTAAAGGTTGTTCCATCACTATATTAGCACAGATGAAGTTATTTGGATGAGACCTCAGATGGACAAAAGACAGAGTGAAGTGTCGACTTCAGTAAGAAAATTAGTCCAGAAATCATTGAAACCTGATACATTTTCTTTTTTAAACATGGCAAAAAATGGCAGTTAAAGCTGTTTATAATCCACAAAAATAAAGTAGAATTCTTAATATTTCAAAAATGACAACATTTCAATCTGCTGTGTCCATCTGTTATAACTGACTGATGACACAACCTCATTATTCTGCTGGCTTTATTGATAGCAGGCTGAAGGATATGCAGCGAGTGAGAACAAGACACTGAAACATTACACCACTGTTCTGAAGAAAAGGTTCTAGATATTTGATATTTCTCTATTTCCATTCACCAGTTTCTCCATTCGGGAGTCTGTTTAGTGTCTGCACTGCCTCTTTGCAGACACACGCTTTCAACAGAGTTAAGATAACACACAGGTGTACAATGCTGAGGAATATATGGGGAAAGAAAAACATTACTAAAAAAAAAAAACACTGGTGAAAAAAGAAAAAAAAAAAAACATGAAAATTCATGAGACAGATCATGTACATCTTCATGTGTTTCTACTTTTTTTATTTTATTTTGTGTATGCAGGTCATTGATCTACTACTGACCTGTTCAGATTTGTTGAGGGGGGTCTAGTGGGATTCAATTCAACAGCTAAAGGAGATGTTCATAAAACATTTTTTTTCCCTTTGGAGCTCCCCTGAGCTCCACCCAGCATGTGAATGCAGTGAGAGAACACAATGCAGATCACTAACAGCCTCATACTGAGCTTAACATACTGAGTATAAGAGCTGATACACATTTATATCAGAATGATTTCAGCTCTTAGCATTTCATACTCTTCATAGAGAAAAGAGGCTCTGCACTAAATCAGACAGATATGATTATATTTAAAAAGAAAGGAAAGCTTTTCACATTTTAACAGATATTTGGATTTACAGAAATTAAGAAAGGCTGTTAAATATGAAGCTTTATTATAACAGTTTGGCATCATTAGAAAAAAAAATAAATTGAAATACACTGTAGAGTTTTAAAGTATCTACATGGACTACAATAACTATTGTATTTCTTATTTTTCAAATTTTAGCAGGAACTCTGAGTTTAAAAGCTAAAATAAAGAGATCATCATGTTTTGTACATGAAGAAATGAGACAGACTCTGACAATCAAGTTAATCTCCAAACAAGCAGAGCTCCAGAAACGCTGAGCTCACAGATATCATAGAGAAACATGAACAACAAAGAAACAGACAACCTCAGAACAAACATCCACAAACACAGTTCAATACAACATCCTTAATCTTAGTCCTAACCCACCATGTTCACTCACACTGGATCATGATGAAGGGATCTAAAGTGAATCCACTGTATATGGAGTTGATCACCTTCTCTGTTACTGAGTATCACAGTTTAATGTGTAGAACTCACTGCTAGAGTGTGTTACTCAGGAGAACTGGACTGAGGGTCCAGAGCTGTGTACGGGTCATCAGGAGAACTGGACTGAACAGTCTGTGTGAGGGAAAGAGAGAATGAAGCAGAGGAGGAGAAATGAAGAACTCCATTTAGTTTTCTGAGTTAAGAATTCTTTACAGATCTAGAGGGAGGATTTGTGAAGAGACACTTACTGCAAGTGTGTGGTACACATCATCAGAGGACCTGGCTGTGGGCTGAAGAGCTGAGTACGTGTCGTCCTTAGCATCGGGGTCAGCGTTCTGGACAGAGGATGATTAGAGAAGGTGTAGAGAGACTGAAGGAGTTTAGGGATCATTAAATAAGTTTACTGTAAGAACTTTTACTGAATTAGAGAAAATAACTTCATCATGATTTAATGAGTAAAAACAGATGCTCTGTATCTTTAAACAGCACCATCACCTCCTCAGAGCTGAGTCCTACAAACATCATTATTCTTATTGCGTCTTATTGAGCCATCTAGTGTAAATGTTTTGTAATTACAGGCATATTGTACTAGATCTAAGGTTTAATTGCAGCACCTTACTTTTTGGTCATAAATGGGTAAGGATATGATTGTGAAATGGTAACAAGTTATAATAACCTAAAAAGTGCATGCTGTTTTTTTATTTTTTTTTATTTTCTATAAATATTGATGTGGTAGCTAATTGTTTATTAAGAACTTGTTACTTTTATAATTAATAACCTAATATTGATTAACAACAACAAAGATAATGTAATTTTTATGTTAATAAAGCTTATTAACATAACATTACCATATTATTACCATGTTATATACAAATCCATAACATTTTGTAAGTTACTACCAATGTGCATGGATTAATGAAGCTCACCTCATTAACTCGCTCTTCCAGGTTTCTGTTCTGTCTTTTGCTCCTAAAAAAAAAGCAACAAATCTGTATCAATATATTTGTTACTGACTACTCATGCAGAGTGTTTTCACTAGTTTTATAAAGAGCTTGTCTTTCAGACAATATACATTTGGGGTAATAAATAATGAAGTAATAATAATGAAAAAGCATGGCTGTATATGATAAAAAGAGTAGTTTTAGTAAGTAAACTAAAGAATAATGGAAAGAATAAGTAACTAATATGAATCTCACCTCCTCCAGAAAACCACAGTGAGCAGAGCTGCATTTCCACAGAGACTGACTCCAACAACTACATACAGAATCACTGAATACAGAACCACTGAACCTCCTGCAGTGATACACACACACACACACACACACACACACATACACACACACACACACACACACACATTGAAGTGTTATATTGCAGTGGCATAATGATTTTAATAACTGCATTCAAAGAAAGCAAACAATAATAAAACACTAAAGATGAATTAGGAATATATTTCTCTTAATATTCACCACCTACTCTTAAAAGTGACCATCACAGTTCCATTCTGAGCTCCATGTTCATTCTGAGCCTCACAGTAGTACAGCCCAGTGTGGTCAGCAGTGATGCTGATGATGCTGTAATTCTGTCCAGATCCTACAGGTGAGGTTCCACCTTCTTTAAACCAGGTGTAGTTCTTCACAGGTGGGTATCCATCACTGCTGCAGGTCAGAGTCACTGAACTGCCGTCCACTATTTCACCACAGGGAAAGATGGACACTGAGATGCTCTTTGGAGGATCTACAGATAGAAGTGATAGGGCTTCTTAAAAGTCAGTAGTCTTTAGCAAAAAAGTAATTAAAGGTTGTTTTGTCAGCATTACTGAAGGTCTAAGTGACATTTATCCCTTATTCAGTTTCTGTAAATATTGCTGAGTTGCTGATTTGTCAAAAAAAACAAAACAAAACAAAAAAATATATATTAATCTCACATCTGACTCTGAGGTTGTGAGCAGTAGAGTGGAGATGTTGATATCCTCTTACAGCACAGCTATAACTGCCTGCATCCTCACTGCTGACTGTCTGCAGGTGGAGCTGGTTGTTCTTGATGGTCTTTGTGGTTAAAGGATGTCCATTTTTGTACCAGATGAATGTTGGGTCAGTCAGACTGCAGGTGGTTTTACAGGTCAGATCTGCTGTTTCTCCCTCTGTCACTTCTTCAGGAGTTTCCACATGGAGCTCTAAGACAATAAATGGACCATCAGATCAGGAGAGTAAATCTGTAACGACAGTCTTTAAAAAATACACAGAAAACTGATTCAGTAAACTTCCATACTCTGAGGATCAAGCAATGATTTTGGTGCTATTAATGAATCAGCATTAGTGCATAGTAACTAGCACCTGAATATGAGTAGCTTATTTACATATAATTTGCGATAAACACTGCCCTACTTTCCCTCAAATGCATACAATTTACTTGAAGCACATCCTGATACAGAATTTTTTTACTGAGAGCCTATAAAAAAAGTAAAAGGCCCAGTGCAGGACTTCTCAGCCTTTTCCACTCCAACGTCCACCTGTTTACAAACAAATTTTTTATTGTTATTTTTTTAATACAATTTTCTTCTTCCTTTATTGAGCGCAGACACTGAGAACCTGAGAATTAAAGCCTGAAAAAAATATCAGTCCTTCCATTTCAGTTAAATCACATAAAACAAAATTTGTAATGATGCAGATTTGTAGATGAGGACCAGTATGTTATGGAAACAATTGTTCACTTTTGGAAATGCAATGTGTCATATTTATTGAAAATACTGCACTGCCTTTGCACAAGACTAAGGTTTTTGATCTTGAGATGTTGCTTTAATTTTGAGGATATTATTGCCTCATTTGATGATTCAGTTCATGTTTTTACCACTTATGTTTTTATGACTTCATAACGTCACATGTAATTATGTGCTTCAGTGGTTAAGAAACTTTGGAGTTACACAACTGTGGTGATGGGGGGCTGGTGTCCAGCACAGTTTGGTAGTTTCTCACCTCAAACACACCCACTAAATCAGACACTTAAGAGATGAGTTAAATCAAGTGTTTATGAGCAGTGAAATCACCAATCGGGGTTGGAGATGTGCAGCTCTGCCATTGGGGAAGTTTCAGATTGAACAGGAGGTGCACCACTGCTCCCTCTACTGGCCAAAGTTTAAATATCTTCATAGTGGGGCTGAATCTCAAATGGCTCCCTGCTCCCTACATAGTGCACTATGTAGGAATTTAAATACTTGGTCCTGCAGCCCAACAGTGCAAAATACAGCTAAGAAATAGTCATTTGGGACATCCACACTTCATAAATCATGCACTATTTGGCTGTAGAGGCTAGAATTTCTGAACTTTCATAGCTAGAACACTACTTAGGGAGGATGGAGCCATTTGGGATTCAGCCTGGGTTTGATGTTTTTTCTCACTGAAACATGAACATTTAAAGCATGTAATCCATTCAACTTTTATACTGCAGTTTTACAGTTAATCATACCATAAGTACTTTAATTCAAGCCTGTGATAATAATGATGGAGTTGTTCATCCTGTTAAAGTTGCCAACCTCTCAATTTAAACCAAAAAGCAGGTTTTTACTTCAATATACTCAGTTGTCCATACGAGCAGAATTAGAGTCAAAGATTATTCAATTAACATCACAAAGATTTTTATTTACATACATCCATCATCTAAACCGCTTATCCTTCTGGGTCGCGGTGGGGTGCTGGAGCCTATCCCAGCTGTCATTGGGCGGAAGGCAGGATACACCCTGGACAGGTCGCCAGTCCATCGCAGGGCTGCAATTTTTATTTATTTATTTATGTATTTATTTATTTATAACACTATGATGCAGTAATATAGAGTTCAGTTGTTGCAGTTGTTGGACCAGAACTCACTGTTTTATGAATGTGTTTTTTCTTTTGAGGCTAATATTAATGTTAACAGTAATTTTGATGTTTTGACCTAAATTCAGGATAAAAAAATATTCTGTTCCAATTTAATAAAAAAAACAACATCAAGTGATACAGTGATTAATATTTTCTATGATTTCACAAGTATAGGTCTAAAAAAAGAGCAGATAAACTGAATCAGGTGTAAGAAGAGATAAAATGATGTAGGAGTGAATCAGAACAGAAGCTGAACATCATTAGAGCAGATTAATAAAATCAGTGATGATAAAACAACATGAATATTCAGAGCAGTCATGAATAAGAAACATTACTCTGAAACCAGAGCTGTGTCTTATAGCTGGACAATGGGATGATTAACTCACCTGTAACTCTGAGCTGAACTCCAGGAAAACCTGTCCATCTTTCCACATTTGTTATGATTCTGAAGCAGAACTGATGTTCATCCCTCTCCATCACATCACTCAGTTTGAGGGAGAAGTGTTTCTGTTCATCAGTTAAATACTCGACTCTGCCTGAATAATCTGGGTTTTTACTCAGATCAGTCGGCTCCACATTCTGAACTGGACATATGAACCAAAAATTCTCTGTCACTGTAAGACGTTCTGGGTGAGTATAAGTTCCATTCATAAACACTGTGGATCCTTTTAAAGCACATATTTCCTGTTGGTTGTACTTCACACTCCACTTTGTTCCAAAAGCTCCTGAAACATATGATCCATGAAAGAGCTGATTACAGAGTCTGGAGCCCATAAGACAGTCAGAGTTACTGTAGCTTACAGCTTCACTTCTCTCCTCTCTAACTCCAGCAGCTACTCTACAACACTGAGCTGATTCTGAGAGAAACCACAAAGTGTGAAGAGCTCTGAAAGTGTATCAGCAGAGAGAGGGAGGCTGGAGAGAAGCACAAACTAGCAACTCTCAACACAGTTAATATGGTGAACTTCTAGACATTATCAATTGAACAGTATTTCTACATCAAGACTTGTACAGAGAAAGTATCCAGTGTGCTACTGTAGTGATGATGTTACAGTAGGATCTGCTGACTCACCACCAATCATGAGCAGAAAGACCAGAGGAAGAGGAGGAGCCATTCTCAGTGACATCACAGTGAAATACAGCAGAGTTTCAGTGAGCTTCAAAAATGAGATATGAATTTACAGTTTAAAGTCTCTGAGAGAGCAGAAAGATCAAGAGAAATTAACTGTCAAATTAACTATTTACTGATGCATCTTTGCCACAGAATTTAACACGGCAGTAAATATAAATAATAAATATATGAATAAATATATAAAATAATAAATAATAAAAAATTGCCCTTCTTACCTCACTGTACTGAGTGTTATCTACACTGTGAGAAAAGCAAATGAAGACTAAAAAACAGCTCTTGGGTTTTAAGCTGTTTGAGTAAATGTGGTTTATTTTGCATTTTGTTGTTCCTCTTTTTTGCTCCCCTGTTCTCTTCTTATCAGTCCAAAACCAACCCTCTTTATGTCCTAATCAGATTGCAGTAATGCAGTGCAGTGAAGCCGAATACTCCACTATTAGTGACTGGTAATACTGCAGTCACTAGTAGCCTGTTTATAGTTCACAGAATAGCTTATTCCTGTTAATAACCAGTTTATAATTGCTTATTACTTAATTAATGGATTATCTAGCACAGTATTTGCCTTTTCAGTGCATATTGCAGGGCAATTTAAAATGTGCACACACAGGCACATCCAGTAGGAAGGAAAATAACAATCAAATCCATTTATTCTGGTGAGGAAATCATAGTGAGGTGAATTTAGATGCAGAGCTGGACTGTAGTTGCCATGGTGCCCTAATGCTGGATTTTATTATTAAATCGCTTAAGAAAACAAACTCACTTAATATATTTACCTTTATCTACAAAGTCAAGTTTTACATTAGGCAATGAGTCTGCAGTGTTAAAGTTTTGGTATAGGCAGGGGTGGAGCCACACCTCCAAAAAAGGGGTGAAAAAAAAAAAAAATGCATGACTGGCTGAGTGACAAAATGCAACTAGGCCACTGACTGAGCAACTAAAACAACCAAACCAAAAATCTCTCATGTCATGATAATAACATGTCCCTGTAAACCTGTTTTTGAGAGTTTCTGTGATGTTGTATTTTGTTTATCTGGTTTGAGTAGTTTCACATCACAATGGCCGAAGTGGACCAAATTACACACAGATATATTCATTTATTGGCCTGAAATTTGGTGTTTGTTTGCATGTTAATGATCTAAGCTTTTGTGTGGGTTGTAAATTTGAATCAAGGCCTAGGTGGTCACTGTATGTTAGTGAGTTAGGGAAGTTGAGGGAAGTTGAGTGTATTGCTATTACTGTGTAAATAGACTGTGTTTACTGTTAAGATGACATTGTTGTAGTTTACACATAGTGATTTTCACTTTATATTTGCTGTAGTTCAGCGACATTTTTCTTTCTATAAGTGTAGTATAAGAGCAGAGTTAATATTGATTACAGCTTCCTGATCATGTTTTTGGCTGTTTGAGCTTTAGAAGCAGGAGTTATTTGGCTTTAGATTTACTTTCACATATTCTGTCAGTATGTGTGCATTTCAGTTCTGCACTGAAATGAACTATTTCTATAATTCACATCATGCGGTCATCATACTTGGACTCTTACATCCCACATATCTGTTTATGTGTGCAACACCTGCTAATTCATCTCAATATCGTATCATTTCTTTAAATGTATGTCAACACAATGTGTTAATTTAGTTAAATGGCTAGGTCACTGATGGAATGTTAATATGTAAATGATCTGCTGTGGTCATTTACCCTAATCAGTACTCAGGAATATCATTTGTAAGTTTTGTTTGTGGTGAAATAAAAATGCTTTTCATACAGTGTGTTTATGATTTTTCTGATTTGTGCAGACATGCTGTGAAATATTTTGGTAATGCTTTTATTTCCAGTCCAATACGTTTTAGATGTTGACCAGATAAACATGATATACAAATTTCAAGGTACTGTGTAAGTATTTGAGTATAATGAAGTTCCATGGCAGTCTAACTAAATTACACTGAAATACTTAATAGGTTCTAGATATTAAGTGGGTATGTGATACAAACTCCTCAGTACTGTGTCATTTTTGGGTAAAAAGCTTCAGTAAATGGTATGACATACAAAGACTGCACTGAACTGAAACATGTTAGTCATAGACAACACAGCTTACACATAACAGTTCCACTCACTGTTTAGTGAAATATTATTTTTGCTCACGTGCAAAAGGTTCATAGGATATGTGAAGATAAACCTCTAAAATACCTCTCAAACAGCAGAAAGAGGAAGTTACCATCACCATGGCTACACTGAAAAGCACCAGTATATTTACCAGAGACAAAGACCCCAAACCAATATATATATATATATATATATATATATATATATATATATATATATATATATATATTGTCCTGACTGACAGCAAAACTGATCTCAAATCATCTTTTACCCACAATGACAAATGCATTCGGGAGGAACTGGCTGACTGCTTACTAACATGTTTCTAAACAGTGTGTTTCTCAACACAGACCAAAGGCAGCATCAACAGCAAGTGTGAAAAGTGAGAGAGAGAGAGACAGAGAGAGAGAGAGAGCGAGAGAGAGAGAGAGAGAGAGAGAGAGAGAGAGAGAGAGAGAGAGAGAGCGAGAGAGAGAGAGAGAGAGAGAGAGAGAGAGATAGTGATAGTTGGGCCTCTGTCACTTCAGGAAGTCTTGACAGCTCTCATGATAAACTTATGCATCATGTACAACAGTGTAAACTGACCTGTTAGATATTTGAATCATGACCATCATCTGGATCATCATCTTCATTCTGACGCCTGGTAAGTTTTTCCTCTCACATCTGTGTGACCAATTTTTCTAAGACCAATTTGATGACCTGAGCCTCAACTCATCAAAAATGAAGAAAGACTTGCGACTCAACTTGAACACCACTGACTCAGACTTGGACTTGATTGACTCATGACTTGGAAAGACTCAGGACCACAAGTGGAAGAAACGTGGAGAGAGCCTGACTGCAGAGCTCTACACAGCTCCTTATTTTCATATGAATAGATTCATTTCCTGTTGTAAATCTGATGTACAGCAGCGTCGTCTAATGTCTGTTACTATATGCTTATTTCACACAACAAGTGAAGCTAGAAACAAGTGAAAGATCAACAGCATCAACAAGCCCAGCTCAGCACATAAACTGCAGTCTTACTAGAGAAACTTACCAGGCGAACTTCATGGTAGCAAAGAAAAAAAAATAAAGAAAGAAGCAAAGCTCTCTGTATTTGACTGATTTTAACAGCTTCTGCAGGTAAAACAAGTGTAACCATCACCACGAGGCTGCAATTGACTCATTAGTTGCCAATTTTATAATTTATTTGCTGTTCCACCTTAAATGGTGCAGCAGTTATGTTCCACCACCTGAATGCTGCACCATTTAATGTAGAACAGAAAATTTAAAGAAGCCAACTTCAGCTTTGTCATTCACCATCAGTTTGCTGTCTTTTCTCTAAACTTTGTTTAGCTTGGTTGTTTTGGATTCTGTGGTGGTCTAAATTTAATTAAAACTAGCAGGTGTGTTTAGTTTGCTGAGCTAGCTTTAATGCTAAGCTTTTTTATTATTATTATTTTAATCCTGTGCCTCCAATGCTCCCAAAAATCGTATGAATCTGTTATCTTCAAATATGTTCTTGAAATAAAGTTTAATAGTACTTTGAAATTTCGGTAACACTTTTTACTGTAGGGTGCTGTTCATAAAGCAACATGACACCTACATAAGCTTGTCATGACAACTGACATAACCCTACATAACTGTTTATAAATGCTTTTTCCAATAATTGTCATTCGCTATAACGGTTACATTTGCCAATTTTGATCAAAGTAAGCTTAAGTAGCCTTTATGACAGATGACACCTGTTGTAATAAGCATTTATAAACAGTTATGTAGGGTTATGTCAGCTGTAATGACAATTTTATGTAGGTGTCATGTAGCCTTATGAACAGCATCCTACAGTAAAGTGTTACTGAAATTTCTTTTCATTTGTAGTTGCACTACTCTTTGTGTATACCATTTTGCCTCTTAAATCCATGGGCCATGGAATTTCTATTTGTATTGTTGTTTATTTGGAAGAGTAAAAAAAAATAATATTAATAATATACAGCTACTATCATGCTGTCATTAACAGACTATATTACAGTTGCTATCATTTTTGGTGTTTAGTGTTGAAATGGCTTTAAATTAGCTGAAGGATGCAGACTGACCTGTTTAGGACTCAAAAAATAGGGGATTTGGGACTTGACTTGCCTGTACTGACTTAAGAGTTAAATCAAGACTCATCTTTCTTGACTCAGGACTCGGGTGTCAAGATTTACTTGTTGCTTGCAACTTAGTGACTTGTTCTCACCACTGGTGTTTGTTTATTACCCCCTTATATGGTATGTCTCTTCTTACAGCTGAAATCAGTGCTGTAACTACTGTAACGGGATACAAGGGGCAGTCGGTTCAGACTAAATGCCCTTATGAGTCTGTAAATGAAAGTCACATTAAGTATCTCTGTAGAGGAAACTGTTCTACTGTATGGGGAAAAAAAGACATCCTTGTTCAGTCTGGATCTGCTAAAGATCAGAGATTCTCTCTGGATGACGACACAGCAGCCGGAGTCTTCAGCATCACCATCACTGATCTGAGAGCAGAGGATGGAGGAACATACTGGTGTGCGATACATAGGGGTCTACATATTAATCACACAGAGATTCTGTTAGTGGTTAAATCAGGTGAGTGACAGACAGTTCAGACTGATATCAGTAGTTCATAAACAGTAGCAAATAAAAGATGAATATTTCTGTGTGGTCAGTGAGATTTTATTGCCAAAAGGTGAATTAATTTGATGTTGTCTCTATTTCTTTTCTTTAGATGCCCCTCCTGCTGTATCACACTCCACATATTCTCCTCCATCAGTTCAGACACAATCTACACCTCTCTCTCCTTTTCTCCCTACAGGTATGAGCTCTTTCTCTCAGTCTGTTTTCTTACTTGTGTATCTGTCAGATCATCCATCAAACCATTAATGCCTGAT